AGGTGCTAAACAATTTCCTTCCCCTTGGTTTTCACACCCCTCACCTTTCTCAGTGGTTAAATCAAAACCTTGTGGAGAAAGTACGGCCAGATTTACCCAGATTTTTTTCTTAAACTCTAGAATAATTACTGCATTTGTTGGAATGAAATGAGAGTTGTGTATACCTCAATAGATAGAATCCTTTGTTTTAATATTTGTAAGAAACTTGACAGGTTGACATCAATCTTTTTTTCCCTCCTCCATCCTTGCAAACACAGCACTTTCTGTGGCTTAGGAGCTGATGTTACAGAACGAGTTGATATATTGGACACATTTCACCATAGCCAGACAAATATAATTTTGATGAACTTATCTTGGCTAGTCTGTCATCTCTGCTTACTGCTAGAACTTGAAATCCAAGCACATGCCATTCTATTGTAGGCTTCCAAGAGATTCAAGGGATTATATTTAATTACAGAGAACATAATTATCAGTGTTTTTGTTGTTGTCTTAGTCTGTTGATTTTATCAGATATCTTGGATCAATCGGTTCATCTACAAATTTGAACATATCAAAACTTGATCTTTGTTAATAAAATGAAATCTGTCTAATAAGTATGAAATCAGTTGTTTCCTTTCTTCTGCAAAACCAGTATCTGCTTATAGTGCATTAAAACTAAACTAGAATAGTTTGAATGTATATCAACAAAAAAATGCAGTAACGATTCCTCTAGCCTGTGTATGTGTATATGTGTGTGTGTATGTGTGTGCATATACATACGTATATTTGATTATCTGGTGACGTAAGACAAGAACAGGTAGTGAAGGGATTATTATTCTTATGCCCATTATAGAAATGAAAAAATCAAGGTTAAAAAATTCAACTAAATTATCCAAAGTTGTTACCCAGTGCAAACTCGTTCTGCACCCAGCAAAGGTGCCCTCAGGGCACAAGGGCAGCAGCAGTGGCTGCAAGAAGAGGGCTGCCTTAGGTGAGCTGGTGGTTTTGCTTCCTCCGCCGGGTGGCCTGGCCTGTGGGTGGGCTCTGCAGTCCCAGGTCGTGAGACACACCTGTCCCACTCAGCCTGCTGGGGAGAGGGGCAGAGCGGTCAGGGTGGGGAGCTGCTGCCTCTGGGAGCTGGTCCATTTCTCCTCTCCCCCGTGGTCTCGCCTGGGGGCAGCCTTGGACTCCAGGTCAGCTTGCTCCTGGGAGACGGGCGGGGTGCAGTAAGGGCGGCTGCGGCGGTCTCTGCTCCAGGTGAGCCGATCATCAGTTTACTCACCTCTTCAGCGAAGTCTGACCTGCGGGCGGCCTCTGATGCCTAATTCGCCAGGCCCGCCTCCAGGTCAGCGTGTCCCATCAAGGTAGGCCTGGT